TCAAATTCTCTGTGGCTTCATTTTATTCTAAAACGGGGATAATAACAGCAACACTACATAATATCCTAAGGATCACATGGTTTAATTTATCAGGGCATGGTATATGCTATGTAAATGCTCTGTGAGCTCATGATATCTCAGGAGAGTCTCTGAAGCTCTTTGGATTTAACCATATAATTTTAAAGCCTCTGCTTTCTCATCTCCTCCAAGAGTTTTTTATTCTTTCCTACACTGACTTTTCCTATTATCAATAAAGTAGCTTCATTTTAGTATTTTCAGTAACAAGTATTTAAGGATTGCTCAGGTGAGCATACTAGCAGTAAATGTATTCTTGTTTAAATTTGAGTAATATGAGTATTAGTTTGTTCAGACACTATCACAAGCAATTTTAAGTAACCTTTGGAGAAAAAAATATCTACAGAACTGCCTACTGTGTACAAGGAATCACTAGAAACTACTAAGCATATAAAATCCCATAAATGTCACTTATTTGACTCTAGGACCTTATAAAAATTGTAAAGCGATGACCAGATGGCAGGACCACAGGAATGCAGTATATATTAATTACTGAGTCCCCACTGACTCTGTTATATTATTGTCCCATTTATACCTGCTCACAATCACTTTCTTTTTTTGGTAGAGACAAGGCCTCGCTACATTGCCTAGGCTGGTCTCAAACTCCTGGGTTCAAGCAATTCTCCCACCTCAGCCTTCCGAAGCGCTGGGATTACAGGCGTGAGCCACCACGTCCAGCCCTACACAATCGCTTTCAGGCAGGGGCTGAAGAGAAATTTTACATGGAGCAGTATCACCAAACACTTTTGCAAAAAGCATCGGATTGTGTGGAAGAGCTTAGGAGAATGAACACAGCTTCCCTGGTAGTGAGAAAGTGGGTGGCTGCTCCAAGAATAGCACTCAGACTGGGAGCCATGAATGGAGAGGCATCAAACACATGTTTTTACAGAATGAAAGGGAAAACTATGTAGGTGGGAGCAGAAGAGCAATGTAAAGGTAATTAGTTTAGTTCAAAGTGGAAAACAGAAAGGAACATAATCATTGTCATTTATGAAACGAGAACGCAGTGTACACATTCGTTGCACCACAAAATTACGATATTTAACTAGATTCCTTATTGCTCCCCCTGACTCTTTTAACACTCATTGCATCCCTGCCATCTTCTCCACCTGGCCGCCCCAACTCACCTATCAATCCTGGTAAACAAATATATAACATAAAGATATAACAAAATAGCTTTTTCATTTTCTTTTTTTTTTTTTTTAAATCTCAAAGGGATGTAGTTCCCAGTCAGCAGTTTGGGTTCTCCAGTTCTCTTCTGCCTCTTCCTCTTAATAGAGAGTTTCAAGAGTGGTAGGGCAAGCCCTGGGAGTGGGGTTTTGGTTCGTTTCTATTTATACAACCAGGCAAATTGCCTTCTCAAAATCTCTACTCAGAGCCACAGACCTCGGTCTCCAGCTCCTCCTCGGTAATCTTTCAGCAGTGCTCCTGGGAAATCAAAATGCATTTTGAAATGTAACAATGAGTTGTAACAAAAAAGACTCAGGAGTGAGCTAAAATAGTCATTCATGTGAAAAATGTCCTAAATCCTCTTCCTAAAAAATGTTATTACAGGTGACAGTCTATCGTGTTATTATTGAATGAAAATCTAGAAAGCAATTTAAAATTAAAATATATAAGTGATAAGGTAACCATGATATAATGAAACAGAGAACACTGAATACAAATGGCAGAATAATGTGCAATTGTTAAATGGCAGAATAATGTGCAATTGTTGATAAGAAGAAAAAGGCATATGAGATTAAGGAAACAAAAAAATAATGTGTTCTTTTCTGATCCATTTGTTATTTCTTCAGTTGTCTAGCACTTCCTCCTCCTTCCTATGTTAGGAGAATTTTCCACCTTACGATTCTACCCTATAGAAACTAAATATGTCCAGTAGTTGCTTTCTTGATCTTCTATGTGCCCTAAGCTTGGCCCATCACATGCACCTGCCCCGGGCTTCAAACAGGAAATGAATGACACATCTAATTTCCATCAGCTGAAGCATCAATGACTATAGACTAGCTTGGGAGCGAGCACTTGTCTGTGATGCTGGCTGGTAAGAGCTGGTGCCCCAGGTTTTGCCAGCTATGCTGAGCCATGCTGTAAGCCAGCTAATATTTCTGTAAGCTCTTTCTGCCTAACTCAGTGAACATTGGCTTCACCTGCTCAAAATTAAGAATCCTTTCTGAGGCATCTATATCCATGTAGCTCACCTAGTTATACTGAGCTGCCACCTTGAAGAAGCAGCAACTAATACACAGAGCTATTTGTAGTTTTTTCACAAAAGAATGGCTCTCCTTCTGAATTTCCTAGTTATTATCTTCACTTCTTACTTTTAAAGGCTCTGCTCAATTGAAAGCCCTTTCCTATTTCAGGACTAGAAGTTATGCTAAATATAAGTAAAAATGTTTGAAAATATATAGACTTCCCCCCTACTGTTCAAATAAATTGGAATGGAAATTCTATTAAAAGATGATGGACAAGATTAAAAAGAAAAAAACAAAACCAAAAAAACCCCTCCAAATACCCTTCCACCCCGGGTTCCTGGCTCAAAATGGGAAGTAGATTACCAGAGGCAAAGTTCCCCATGCTGATTACTCATTAGCTTATTCAAAGTGGCTTTACAGGCTCAGTCCATTTGCCAAATTGACTCTTGCCCAAATTTCCTTGGCACACAAATTACCAAACAGTTAACCCTCCTATTAGTAGTCTCAGCAGGAGCCAACGCATGAATGAACACCGAGCCTCTTCTTCTGCCTTGAGCGGCCAGCCAGAGCAGCATTCAGGCCAAATGTCTTAGAATTACCAAAGAGATATGCCCGGTGTCAGATAATAAATACTTGAATTGTAGATAATGGGGCCTTTGCTTTCCCAGACTTTTGCTCTGGCAGTGATTTAAAGAACTGGACTCATTTAAAATAATGCCCCCCCTTTACTGTTTTTAGATTTGTAAAGCTGCAATTTACTCTATATGCAAGGAATTGAAGACATTTGGCTAAAATATTTACTTTCAGGACTAATGGTGACAGATAATTTTGCTGATAAAAAGATGACTTGTTTCTGCCTTCTGCCTTTATCAGCTGATGTGATATTTTCTTCATAACTTAACAGACAGGGTAAGAGTACATACCATAACTCTTCTTACAAGTTATAATCTACTGGAATAGATGTTTAATATTCATACTCCCTGTCTGAGAAACCCTTCACTGAGGTTACACAGTCAATGAATTTGGCCATAATGAACTCCTGTATTCCCGTTACACATGGGAGACGGACCACTGGCTCATTTTATATTAGCCTCTCAGGACCCATAGGACAGAAACGATTTCCTTTCACCATCAGCCAGGTTGGAAAAGACCCAGTCATTCAGAAACAAACAGGATGTAAATTGATTTAAAAAAAAATCAGCTAGATAACAAAATCTTTCATTCAACTAGAAATGTTTTTTCCTCTAAAAGATAAATGACAAATAAAATGCAAAACTGAAGTAAAATTTAGGAAAGCATACATTTTTTATATTCAGTAAAGACCAAATATTTTCTTGATTTTGATAATGTAGCATAAAATCCAACAGAAATAATTTATAATGAAATAGCTTATTTGACATGGTAAGAATGTAACTGAACTGTATCTCATCCAAGAAATACAAATGAGTTTCAGTGACATCAGTTGAAATTCATTGGCTCTTGTTTATGCGGTTTGTGGGGAGTTTTGAAAACCTCCAGAAACCTCAGTGGTTGTTTGCAGGGTTTTGTAGAAGGTTTGCAAAGTCTAAGGTAAAACTGATTTTGCCTTATATCCATGGAAGATATCCTTCTTGACTATCTTACTCAGTGCTTTAGTTTTCTGTCATGTAACATGTTGAGAAACATGTTTCCTTTTATTCAATGCCTACACCAGAATACTGGCATTGTGTTAACGTAAAGATATAATTACAGGAAACACACACACACATTAACTGACTGTATCCTCAATATTTATGGTGTAAGGCATCAGGTTATTTGTCAACCAGTTATTAAATATGAGATATAAAAAGTTCTCTGAAAAGGACAAACAGAAGAAACATTTTAATTTATGTTTTAATAATGCTGGGGAGAACATATCCGTTTTAATCCTAATCGTACCAGATGGTATTAGCTTCTCTGATTTCCTCACTCTCTTTCCTAATAAAGAGAACCAGTAGTCTTGGCAGCATATTGGAAAGACAGAATTTAAATTTCCATTTCCTTATGGCTGATGGCAATAAGTTTTTATCAGACTGAGTACTCTTTGAAGCACATGCTCAAGTGCAAGAAATATGTGTGTTAGTGGGGGAGGGAGGAAGAAGGACAGGAGGTTTGTTTAAATGAAACACATGTGAGTAGGAGACACAAGGTCTGCAGCAGACACAGCCATCATGTCCCAGAGGTGAGGTTGACACTGACCAGGGCTTTAAGATGACATGCTGTGAGTCTGAGTAGACCAGGCAAACTTTCATTCTGTTTTCTTCATACTATTTTCACTTTCCAAAGACATACCAGAAATAATAATTTCTAATTGAAAGGAAATATTTTAGAAGCTAATAACATAAATTGGGGATGCTACTATATGATCAGAGAGTTCTGGTAGCACTGCTAGATGACCCAACCCAGCAGTTACGCATGCCTTATGGCACTAGGGAGTAAAAAAAACAAAACAAAACAGGTATTTTTAAAGAAAGTATTGAAATAACCTTTACGAGAAACATAATTTCTCTGTCATACTTCTTTTAAGGTTCAGTGTTATTTTTTAAAGCTACATTTAAAAAGGGACACCAGTATCTGTCAGCATCTTGCTCTTGTAAGTACTTACTACAATTCTTCCTGAAAATATAATATTTAAGAACAAACAACAGCCTCAGAGATGGTTTCTTCATTCAGCACTGTATTATGGGGAGACTGACTGTCTGAATGCCTCAATACCTTCTTTTGTCTGCTCTCAGCGGCAGCCAGCTGTGCGGACATCCTTTCTTGCATTTTTCTGCAGTGGTCCATGACTGCTTCTAGGATGGAGAGGGGGTTGGTACAAACGGGCTTCTTGTCTTTGTCACCAGCACCTGCTTCATAGTCTCTCTGGAGTGCCAAGAATGGGTCATTTAGATTAAATCTCCCATACCGCTCCTGGATAAATACCTCCTTCCTGCGAGCCTAGAACAAAATCAGAGAAATATACTGAAGAAAAAAAATGAAAATATACATAAAGATAATAATAAGACAGTTCTATGAGTACTTTTCCAGATGGTATTCACAACAGCCATGCATAATGGCTTACAATGTCAGGTGGTGAGTGAGAGGCAAATGTGACTCCCATCACTGACTAGCCTAGAATGCCATTCAGTCTGCTTTCAAATTTTCTTTAAGATTGGCTTTTACATTGCAGATGATGCAAATATAGTCTTTCCCATGATGTTCTACTCCCTCAGGGATCTTAATTCAAGGCGTAGTCTTTTCTAATGTAAAGTAAAATCAGAAATATTAACAATTAAAATAAGTTTTAGCACAAGCTCAAAAATAAAATTATCTACCTATTGATAGAACTTATATTTAAAACAATAATAATTAGGTTAAGTCACACCAAAAAAAAAATCTCCTGTAAATTTTATAGCCAAAATGAAATGATAAGGATATTTGCTAAAGAAGAAAATAATTTGTGAAGTATTTTGTAAAAAAAAAATCACAATATTCATAATTTGTCAAGTTTGATCAACTGCAAAAGCCTTCAGAAAATTTTTAAAAATTCACCTATCTCCTCATCACTGAAGGGCATTAAAATATAGTTCACAGAATCCCAGGAAAGGAGGCAACCTAATTATACTCTAAATGTCAGTCCATCAGTGACAAAGTTAATTTCACACCCATGTAATGAGGACCAAATGCAATTTTCTATAATTAGCCTACAACATTCTTTGCATAAGATGGAAAATAACAGTAGGATAGATTAAAAACTAGCAACATTTTCCTAATTCAGGTCATTCTGGAATAGCCACTATAAAAAAAAATTCCATGTCACTGCCAGTGGAAAAACTAAATTACAATAAATCACACTTATTTATTCAAAATATTAAATATATTTTCTAAAGAAATGCTACATACAGCTCCCCATTTCAAAGGCAACTGCATTGAACAACTGAAGTTTTCCATTTTTAGGTCATTGTCAGCAAGCCAACAGTTAGATCAACACAAATGCTATGACAAATGGGAAAAATCTAACATTTCGTTTCCTATTTCCAAATTAGATTAGAAAATCAAATGTACAAAAAGTCCAGTTTCACTATTAAATTTAAGCTAACATTCAGAACATCATTTTAAACTTAAAAAACTCCACAAAGTTTATGAGTTAAAAGCATTTGGTGTTCCTAGATTATTCAAATTTAATGATGGAAATTGATACACTGAATATGTATCACTTGAGAAATGAAATTGCAAAAGCAATTTCTTTTTTTTAGATTGGAAAATGCAGTTTATTTAGAAAATAAATTAGGGAGAGAGGGAGGGAGGGAAGGAGAGAGAGAGAAAGAAAGAAAGAGAGAGAGGAGTTTCACCTCTACAATTTCATTTTATCCTTACTTTTTAGAAAACATTTATTCAATATAGTAATTCTTTCCCTACCCCTGACGGAAAGCTTGGATAACCCCATAGTTTTTCTAGTTACTTTGACTTAATAAAAGTCCTATAATCACTTTACGTTAAAACAGTCTCAATTTGGTTATTAGAATATCCATCTTCCTTCAGTGCTATGATGGATTCCTTTCCCAGTTAGTATTTGCTGCCAGCTAACACCCACCACCTTGAAATGGGGTATAAATAACCACCTCTCACCTTTCTCAAAACCTTCTCCCCCTTTCTAAGTTGTTTTAGTGCCCTCTGGGTTGGAAGGGACTGAAGGTCAATGATGAAAGGGAGGTGAGACGAGCAGGAATGTCTACCTTACTGGACCAGTTGGTCAGCTAGCTTTACTAACAGAGTGTGGCAAATATTTAAAGCCTGCTCTTTTTTCATGAAGTGTTTGGTAAATTATTCAGAGGAACACCCCCTCTCACATTGTTGGAGCCTCTTCATCTAGTTTCCTCAATAGGCTATGTAATCCGCAGGACCCAGTAGAAAATGTAGACATGAAGCTCTTTGCTCAAAAATGATTAAGACTTTCAAGTTGGCAACAGCATAGTATTTACCAAGCAAAGGGCCCTTCTAAATGCATGGCCTTTTAAACTGCACAGGTTGCACACTCATGAAGCCCGCCCTGCACACACCCCTTATGCAGCATTTGGAATCCAGTTTCTGTTGGCTAAGGTCATAAGTTCTCTCTAGACTTTTCCATGGAACCGAACCCAAATCAGTCTCATTCCCACTGTTTGATGCCCATGGACCAACCTGGTCTATGGGTAAAGATTCGTGTTTCTAAACAAAAGCTGGGTGTTTCCACAAGATGGCCACTGCCTCTGTCTCTCCTTCACTTCCACAAAATGGCTAGTTGTCTAGGTCCACCTCTATTCAGTCCACCGAGTACTGCAGGAGAAACCTATTAAGGCATTAAATGGTCTCCTTGAAGTCCTCGTCTCTTGAAATGAAGAGACAACTGGATGGGGTAGAATTCACAGCACAACTCTCTGCAGAGAAATGCTCTTTGATAAAAATACTTCTGTTCAAACTCCAGCAATTGCATTATTTTATAGCCTCAATGTGGATAAGAGGTTTAAAAGTCAAAACTAGGATTGAAATATTTATTTTGAATATCCGCATCTGGGTCCTCACTTTAGTATGCAATATTAATCATTATGAATTCCCTACTGAAACTTATAATTTAACAACCCATTATAATTACCTGATGTCTATGCATGTCTATTTTATGATGTAAAATACTTGTAACCCTAACTCAAGACATTTCTTAACACACAGGCTATTCTTCAATCAGAGTGAAGTTTTTATAAGTGAATTAAAATTATTTTTCGCATGATGTAAGAGGTAAACATATATATCATGGACTCATTTCAAGTTTTGCCCAATAGAGTTTATGGTCTGAAAGTATTTAATTCCAATTTATTTTTTACTAGTGTGAAATAGTTTTGTGTATGGATATTTTTGTTGTATCTGTTTTATTTTAAAATCTCTAACTTTAGCTAACAGTCACATTATGACACTACTCAATGTGGGCAAAATTTTTTTCCTGCTGAAAATGTATAATTATATGTATAAAGGTCATAAACATAAAACTGCCAATTAATTTGTCTTGCAAATATGGATGACACTTAACCTTTACAATAAAATACAAGATATGCACATTAGATTCCTTTAAGGGTAGTAACAGTGGCTCTGTATTTTTTGCTAACTTGCAAAGCAACTATGTCTCTGATATCTTTAGTTTTCAAAATGGGAGAAATGAAGCAACCTCATTTGTTGTCTAAGACACCCTGAGTTTAGATCGGGGTCCCCAATGTCCTGGCCATGGACTGGGTTACACAGCAGATGAGCCTCAGGCTAGCGAGTGAAGCTTTATCTATCTGTGTTTGCAGCCACTGCCCATCACTTACATTACTGCCTGAGCTCCGTCTCCTTTCAGATCAGCAGAGGCATCAGATTCTCATAGGAGCAGGAACCCTATTGTGAACTGTGCATGTGAGAGATCTAGGTTGTACATTCCTTAAGAGAATCTAATGCCTTATGATCTGAGGTGGAGCTGAGGTGGTGATGCTAGTGCTGGGAAGCAACTGCAAATACAGATCAACATTAACAGTGTGGTTTGACTGCAGAGAGACCATAATACATCAATTGCTTACAGACTCATATCAAAATCCTATTGATGATTGGCAAGCAAATTGATGTACTTCAACTGTACAGCTGCATCTGGTGGCAGTCTTTAAGTCAGAATCTGACACTTATTTTAGTCATGCGTGGCCTACCTATTATTTTATTTACCACTTCTATTTGTGCCTCTTCTTTTTACAGTGAGTTGTATATCATTTCCTTATATATTACAATGAATAACAGTGGAAATAAAATGCGTAATAAATCCTATGTGCTTGAATCATCCCCAAGCCATCCCTTCCCCCAGTCTGTTGAAAAATTCTTCCATGAAACCGGTCCCTGATGCCAAAAAAGGTTGGGGACCACTGTTTTAGACAACAAACCTGATTGCATTGTAAGACCTCAAAACTGTGGAAATCCCAGCTGCCATGAATGTCAAAGACCATGCATGCTTCATTAACATGAAGCTGACTCTGAACTCATGTTTACTGCTTCCAGAGACACTAGGTAATACTTTTATTTTATGACCATATAGGAATTCGTTTATGTATATCACATATATCCTGCATGTATTTTTTAAAATCTTTGTTTTATAGCTATGGCAGGTTTCTAGAAATAAGTAATTCTAAGACTCAAAATACATTTTTTGGTCTATAGCTGTCTATCAGGGTTATAGATAAGAATTCAGTTGCCCATCTTTGTTCTGCACCCTTCTGCCCCATGCTTTTGTCCCTGTTATGCTTGCTGATTGGGACAGCTTTTCCTTCACCTACAGGTCTCTCCATGAACCACCAACCCTCATTGCAACCTCTTCTTCTTTTGCTCAAAAGATTCAGAGTTTACTTTAATCTGGCTTCAAGAAAGCATCTATAATGGAACACATTTCCAAGCTGCCTGAAATCCCTTAACTTTATACCTACTTTTTAACAAACAGAATGTTTAGTCCTGTTAATATTCTGTGAAGATTTTGCCCTTCTTAGACTATCTTACTTTGTTACAGAGTACTTATTTTTAATGTATTACATTACTTTTAAAAAAGAGCAGAACTACTATATAGGGATGTTTTAACATATAAGAAGACCACGTGACAAGAAATGACTTGAAATGTTTATTATGCTGGGTCTGAGGTGGTCTGTCCCTAAAAAGTAAGAGCTGAATGTGCAGACAACTTCTTGGTTTATGCATCAGCATGACTTGGGAATAAAATGCATTTTAGGGAAACGAGTCATTATGAAGACAGACTGACTATAATAATAAAAACAGCCTCTTTAAGGAACCCTTAAACCTAGCTCCACTGATGAATAAAAATATAATTTCATCACAATCTGAAGTTTTATAAAATCTCATTGAGAAAGTCACAAGCCCGAAGTAAAAACATGACCCTTATCTCTAGAGCATTTAACATA